CCCCTTAATAATAAAAACCTTCATTTAAAAACTGCATTTTGTGTTTACTTGTGTTATCTTTGTCTAATAATTAAATTTGTTTGATGATCTGAAACATTTAAGTGTGACAAACATGCAAAAAAATAAGAAATCAGGAAGGGGGCAAACACTTTTTCACACAACTGTATATCCTCCTCAGTTGAGCAGTTTTGCAATCAGATCGTCCAGGGCCAACATAGTTTTGCCCTTCCAGTATAGAGTGCCAGGAAGTTTGGATGAACACAGAAAAGCATTCGCAAGTCTATTTGGCGTTCTTCCCTGTGACATGATGGACTCGATCTGTGTGCAGTAGACCTCGCTCAACCGGCCCAAGTCTGCCAGAGAGGTCTCTTTGTGACCTGGAAGTCGCAAACCCATTTTGTTTAGTGTATCACAACCGGATGTTTTTATGCTGTGACAGCACGTCTATTGCCAGCGCTGCCTTTCGTGGGTGCGTTTTTCTTCCCCACAGATTTCTCTGATGTTAAGGCTAGGACAAGGATGAGAGCTTGCTAGGCCGCTGGACCATGCTCTGCTCTGTTGACTTCTTACAGCGCAGGCGCACCCAAAAAGTTACTGGATCCGGTTTAAAACACTTGCAATCTAAATCAACTATATAGTAATGTTCTTAAGAGCAGAGACCACATGCACGCGTCCTCCTCACAGGTCTGGCCATTCCAGGTGCTGAAAAAGAGGGGCAGAAGTGGTCTGGCGATATTCTGTAGAACATTGTCTTTTATATCTCCTGAAAGTCGGAAACTGTCCCAAAACGTCTGAATGATCCTCCATCGATCAGTGATTGGCTCCATTTGAATTCTGTCCCCTCCCTGGATCGATCCTGTAGCAAAACATCCTGAGCTCCTCCTCCTCTGTGACCTGCTGGTCAGTTGTCCATCCTGCTGTTCTCTGCTGCACCTCTGGAAAGCCTCACTCAAAATGATCTCTTTCTGACCCTCAAAACTATTCATACAGTGTTTTAACACCTTTAGTGACTACTTCTATGGTTTAATGCATTCAAGGAGTAAAATACTGTAACATATAATATCCTTTATAAGTAAGAATATTGTAAACATATAATACAGTCCATAAGTAAACATTTTGTGACTTAACATATTTTGACATGTTATTATTGTGACACTTTCATTCACCACTGGGGGTGTTATTAATCCTAATAATAATGCTTTTAATACTGAAATCCTTCACACTGACAAATTTAGTTTCTGTGTCTTCAGTGTTTGTGCTCTCCACCACCACCTCCGTACTTTAGATCACATTCCACAGCAGCACTTCACAGTAGTTGAAGTCTGTGACATGTTCCTGTAGTATGATTTGGTACTCTTGATGAATTTAAGACGAGGACATGAGGTGTTTCAGGTTTCCTACTTTCTACTTACTACAAATTCAAGTTTTACAATAGTATAGAATGGTTATGGCCATAGGCTGTATGCAAGAAGTGGACGGGGTCACTGCGGTGCCACCCATTGGGTTGTGGACTATGGTTTGGAGTAACAGACACAGAAACCCGGCACTCACTCATACAGGCTCTTCTTATTTATTATGGGCCAAAACGTTTCAGTTCTAAGCCATCATCACACATGATTTTAGGATTTGTTTTGTGCACTGCCAATTTCCACGGCTTAGAAGGCTCGAGTTCAACATTTTGACAGTCGGCATCTTAGCTTTTGGCAACCATAAGTGACCCGAGAGGGTGGAGCTCCATACAACCCAACGCTGAATTAGACATTTTTAGGCAACCAAGAAAAAGTTACAATCAACTTTCATGAACTGAAAACGCACTGAAAGGGCTAAAGTTGTATGACAAAAACACGGACAACTTTTAGAAAGATGTGGTAGGGACCCGTCAATCACAAGCTAGCCCCGCCCTAAAGCATAGCCTGCTTTATGGACTATTTTTAATGGATCATAATTTACTAAATGAACATCATGCTGTATTGAAGAAGACTTGAAACTAGAGATTGAGACCATAAACTCATGTTTACAATGTTTACTGAGGTAACAAATCAAGAGAGAAGTAGTCATTTTCTCATAGACTTCTATACTATGCAAGCTTCACTTTTCAGACCCGAGGTTGTTGCCTGGTTATAGCTGAAGTAATCTCTATAAACAGGTTCTGCATTCGCGTGTAGAATCTGGAGGCAACGGGACAAGATTTTGGCATCGGAAGTGTTCTGGTTTCCCGTTTGTCGTCTGTGTAGTATTGACCGATCTCGTTCGAGCAGGCTTTGGTTGAATACAAGTTAACCGTCCACGTGGAGCGCAGAAGAGGCTGAACGCATTGGCCGAAATGCAGTCTGGGAACGCACCGGCTTTTGTCTGACGATAATTTAGCTTTTTATTGGTTTGGAATTAACTTGGCCGCTTGTGGAACAATCGACTTCAGTCTCGCACCTCAAGTTGCTAATCAGACTGTAAACGAGCTAGAAAATAAGTCTTTCCCCGGACATCTGCGGTCGACACCAGAACCCCAGAAATATAGCCCCTTGCCTCCGAGATTCATCCGTCGTCAGACCGACAGCCGATGGGTTCAGAGATTGTAGCTTAAGTAGCTCTGTAATTTTGCAGGTGTACCCAGAACTTTACAGATGAACTGAACCCATACGAAGTCGTCATAATATTACTGTATATGTTCAAATATTAGGCTTCAGATACACTCAACTGCTGAAGCGTTAACATTCATCACACTTCTTGTTTTTAGTAAAGGTTTAGAAGGAAAGCAAGACAACTTGTGACCGGGGACGTTCCTTGGAAAAAAGTGGAAGTCGTATATTGCTTTGTCAACCCTTCTGTGATAGATGAGCAATGTTGGTGTCTCTGCTAGTTGCTAAACACACTCTTGATGTCCACTGTACTTTGGAAAGGTGATGAAGGGTCAGAAGAAAAGAGCACAAACACGGGCAGGGGAGCTGGTATCAGTGAAGCGTTTCTGTAACGAGGAGAATGACGACAAGGACAAGGAAGTGTGTGTTTGTCTAATTGTTTACAAAAACAAGAGTGTGCTCATGTCAATGGACAGAAGCGATAAGAATCCGTTTAACTGTCTGAGCAAAATGCAAGAAAAACAATCGCACCCATGTATTTGTTGTCTCTGCTTTAACTTAATGACGGCTCACATCCTGTGGCCCGAGTCCTGCTGCTGCTTTGAAGTGCTGTGTTTCCTCATGGCTGATGGGATGATGTAAGATCATCTGATCGGTGACTCAGATAGTCAGAGTGGCCAACGGTGCATCTGTTTCCTGTGGTATTAATACATTTGTCTTATTCTGGTAAATGATGTAATGCATCAGAGAAACGAGCTATCATAAACGCCACTCATAAAGCTGAAAATAATTCCCTCGGAGCACAATTTCAATTGTGTTTCCATATATGTTCCTAAAAAGTCATCTTTATTTTCTATGAATATGTAGCTGATCTGCATCTCATTATCACGTGCCGCCCTTTGTGTCAGCGGGAGAGCAAACTGTTATTTGACCGCAGCTAAAGAGGCTAAAACGAACAAATGTGTAGAATAGACGATGCAAAAATGTTGATTTAGGATTTGAATGTCAACGTCATGAATGGAGCTTTAGTGTTAACATGTGTTCCCCCCCCCCCCCCCCCCTCCTCAGGGTTCCTTGGTTCCAGATGAGGGAGCAGCACTTCAGCTCCGGCATCAACAAGCGATCACTGGACTCCATCGAGAGGGCGGCCTTCTTCGTGACACTGGACGACGAGGAGCAAGGCATGAGGGGGGAGGACCCGGCGGGGAACTTGGACCGCTACGCCAAGTCCCTGCTGCACGGGAAATGTTACGATAGGTGAGCGAGGACACGCGGGGGAAAGAAATTAGATGGGCGTTCAGATCGCAACCAGAGATACGTCATCCTGCTTTTGGGTGGCTTCAAATCCCCAAATAACCCCTGATGGAGCCTTTGTGTTGTGCTGATGTAAACATTTGCAGCCTCACAGAGCAACTGGCTCCAACCTTTTGAACCCTTGTAAGTGGAGGTTGTAAAAATGTAAAAGGTTCGATATCTATAGCGAGTAGGGGTGGGTATCGTTAGGATTTAGTGAGGGGGGAAAAAAAGAGACTTTTAATTAAAAAAAGAACATTCTTGTATGTAAACAAAGTCTTTCTTGAACGGCAACCGCAGAAATGTTTAAATAGCTCACTATTGTTGACTACTGTTTCAATGCCAACAACAAATGTGACTATGAGAGCATTCCTACGGGGAGTGTGTTTGGAGTGTAGAGCCTTGGTCATCTCCCCACAGTGAAGAAACGAGTATTGTTAAGATGTGTTGGCTAGAGTGGTCGTGGGATTGCAGCTTCAAAATGACTTATAATAGTGGTGTATAGTAACGAAGTTACTGTACTTAAGTCGTTTTTTTTGGATATCTGTACTTTACTATTTATATTTCTGTTGACTTTTACTTCACTACATTTTGCAAAGAAAACTGATACTTTTACTCTGATACATTTCCCCTGAAACCTTCGTTACTCGCTACAAAATCAAATCTATCTTTAGAAACAAAATGAATCATGAGACCAGCGTCGGGGACTGTGGTGGAACAGAGACTGCAAGCAAGCAGGTTTGGTGAATCAGTGGTCCTAGCTTGCAAGTTAAATCATTGGTTAATCACGTTAATGCGCAATTGCAAACAAGTGCTCTCAAAGCCGCGGTGTTTTGATTCCCAGTGATGCCCAGGATGCTATATGCTATAGCTAGCGAGCGACTACATTAGTATAATTCCACTCTACGATGACTGATTTCATGACGGAAGCAGAAATGGAAGCACCTGCTACTCCCGCAACCAACGACGGTGGTGACGAAGACCAACACCCGTGGATCGCTAGCGAGTTAGTGAGCTGAGGAAGTGTTGACAGTTGTGCAGCACTAGTTGGCTAACGTTAGCTATAGCTAGCCACCACACCATAGGATTGACAGGAGCCGCGAGAACGCAGCATCAGGGTTAGCATCAGGGTTAGCATTAGTGTCAGCATCAGGGTTAGCATTAGGGTTAGCATTAGGGAAATCCTTCCCAGCTGTCCGCAAGCTGTCTGTGAAGCTGAACGCACCTCTACCTGCCTCAGCGGCCTGTGAAAGGCTAGTTAGCATCGCAGGACTAGTCTTCAGCCCAAGAAGAGCGAGACGGAATTCTCGCAATTTTGAAAACCAACTTCTTTTGAAGATGAACAGGACATTTTTCAGTTTCAAGTAATGACTGGGTTGCTGCTTTAGTATTGATCATGTTTTGATATTTGAGTCATTTTGTGGATGATCAGATGGAGTTATGATGGTAGCAGTCGCCCAATTGCAGATTCAGCTTGAGCAAAACCTTTGCCTATTGTGTTCAAATCAGGCCCATAGGAGTTTACAAGGCAGGTGTCCTTTCTCACAACACTGACCTGATGCATCAAGTGGATATATTCTGCTGAACACAATATTATGCATTTGCCCTCTACATCCTCTAGTCGGAATGAGCATACTTATAAACCCACTGTTACAACTCCTTCATAGTGTCATATTGCTTTTCGGAGAATTATGATGATAAGTTCATAGCAGATGCAAAAGTATACTTATGTACAATATATTATGTTGAACATTGTTGCTCCTGGATGGATCACAGCCAACCCAATTATTTTCAACACAGCTCCATGTCCTTGGTCATGGTGCCACAGCACTTAAAAGAATAAACTTCATAATTCTCAAAATTCTGACGCTTTGCTTTTTTATTAACAGCATTTACTTGTACTTTTACTTTCAATACTTAAGTACATTTAATATCAGAAAATTACTTTTGATACTTAAGTACAATAAATATCAGATACTTTAAGACTTTTACTCAAGTAGTATTCTAATAGGTGACTTTTTACTTTTACTGGAGTAGTTTTCCAGTAAGGTATCTTTACTTTTACTCAAGTGTGGCTTTTGAGTACTTTATACACCACTGCTTATAACAACACAGCTGCTCTCCTTTTTAATAACTAGGCTGACTCCAAAGGCAAGTCAATTTGTTTTGAATGCCATACTGCACAAAAGACATGTTTGAGTTCTCTCTACTTCTATCTGTGGTTCTGCTGTTTTAGAGGTGCAGGACTTAACATGTTGCAGTGAGAAACAAGGCCACGGTGAGTAGAATCTGACGGGAAGGCCCCGAAGCTGCTCAGGGTTCTGACGGTTTAATAGTCAATGGTGAAAATCATTGTAGCCAACCTGTGCAAGGCGTTATCAATCTACTCTGCCTATAGGAAGCACTGCCAATCCCCTGTGTTTGTAGCAGTGTTACATTGTACTTATCCTTCTGCATCTATTTTTTGTGTGTTTCTTAAATTCATAGCTGTTTTTTTCTCAAGATAATATTTCCTCCCTTTCTCTGCTGTCGCCCCTCAGGTGGTTTGATAAATCCTTCTCCATTGTGATCTACAAGAACGGGAAGAGTGGACTGAATGCAGAGCACTCCTGGGCGGACGCACCGACAGTGGCTCACCTTTGGGAGGTTCGTGTTCTCGTGTGTGTGTGTGGTCGTGTGTTCCGGGGTTTTGTTTGTCTCACAAATGTGTCCCTGCTTACTAGCATTGATCCAATTGGATTGTTTCTCATGACTCACGGGAGTGAAACAGTGAAACACTGCCTGAGCGAGAGAGCCGTTTCCGAGAAGTGGATGTGTTTAAAGAAGGATTCGAAATGAATGACTCTGCGGCCGACACCACAGCTGCTCATTCTCAAATTACTCCCACTCTACGCAGCAGCTGGAGTGAGCCAGAATAAGAAAATATATACTTCAGCTACTCCATGTTTTGTCAGTCCAACAATCAAATGCACAGCTGAATGAAATATGGCGGCGGCACCACGGTGTGGAAACCGGCAAAACATCTGGAATGATGCACCTTGTACACGGATGGGGAGAACATCTGTGGTCTCATGGCTCATTGTTTGTACAAATGCATCACATGTCCACTGGTAATGGCGTGGGTGCCTGAGTTATGGAAAGGCCCCCCATGTGGGCCCGCTGAAGCGCTAATCAGGCAATACAACTGCTACATTTTCAGGCCTACTGCGGTGAAGCACTTCTGCTGAGATCTAAGTGGAATTTTCTTCTCTTTTTTTCATGCGATACCGAGTTACCAGCTACGTGGGGAAATGTAGTAAGTAATTCCATTGTCAGTAGTTTACGATGAAAAGAAGCACGTACAGGAAACGCGTGGATTATGTGTCCATGAAGACAGCTCAGCTGTGACCTTTCTGTGACCACGTATACATGACAAAATGAAGGAAAGTGACATTTAAAGTTAATGTGAGGAACTTTTTAACTGCTTATGAAACTGAATACTGATGCCTCCTATCTGACTGGCTAAAGTAAACGAGACCATCAGTGAGAAAACTGGCTTTTTCTTCATGGTTATTCTCGGAGGCCCAGGCCACATAGCTGGGCCCGCTGGGGGCTGAAGGGAGGCACGGGATCATCAGAACCAGGACTGCACAGGGGCGGACTGGTGGACCCTGCTGCTGCAAAATTAGAGGTTTTCGAAAGGGAATCTGGTGCTCAGAAACGCAACCAGTTTTTTCCGCAGAGACGACTAAAAGCAACACAAAATGAAAATTCCTCATAGAGAAAATGAATGGGTTAGGGTCATTTCAGTTGTATTTTGTCTAAGTATATATTTGTATGTTAACACGAGCATGTCTCTTCCCCTCTCCAGTACACCCTGGCCACAGACGCCTTCCAGCTGGGCTACACTGAGGACGGGCACTGTAAAGGCGACGTGGACCGCTCGCTACCGTCTCCCCAGAGGCTCGCCTGGGACATCCCCTCAGAGGTACGTACACCCTGGGGAGATGTGTTTGACCCTCGTGTGTGCCGTTACAGCCGTATACTTGGTTAAGAACACGCCCGACTGGTTACATTCTCGTACCTGCCTGGACAAGCACACACAAGTCCAAAGAGTATGCGGGGCTGCACGGGTTGTTTGCAATCCACTTGAGGACGTCACGCAGCCGACGTGCTCGAACAATCTCTCGCGGATTCATCCCAACTCACCCGCTTGTGAACGGCTGCCATCCCGTCGTATGTTGTTATGAACATGCCTGGTTCTTCCCACTGGTTTCATTTAGTTTTGGAGCGAGGCCTCTTAACACTGTGCTTTCCTGAGCAGTTCAAATGTATCTTTTTTTTTTTTTTTTTTTAAAGGAGCTATGAAAGTAAATCAGAGTCTGGGGCCGGGATCGCCGCCTAGCAGTCCACATGCTAACGCTGTGTTAATTGGGGCTAGCTAACACGAATAGAGGCAACCCGGCTTCCGTTACAACGCCACTCTGCCACCGTGGAGATAATCATCAGTGGCATCCGCCTGTCGGTGCAACCGCATCCTGCACACACAGCAAAGACCAGTTTCCTCTTGTGGGTTTTTTTCCCCCCGAGAAAATCAATTTTGCACATGCGGTCAGGGATGTCGGACTTCTCTGACCACAACAGACAACTTGCTCATAAAAGCACATGGCATCTAATTGCGCCATTGCATTGACTTTTGCCAGTGAGCCAAACTAAGTGGTACTAAATGTACCGGTCTACACCTGAATGGAATGCACATTGCTAAAGGATCAGATATGTATGACTTGTGGTCAAATCTCAACAGTCAGCACACCGTAGCCATCACATTTCGCGGAGGCGGACCTTAACACCGGCTTTGTGTTCCCGCATCGCATGTTAACTTTTCAAAATATAATCCCGCCTCCTTCAACGTCGATTAACTGTCTTCCCCATGTTTTCATAACGTTACCTCGGCCGGCACAACTGTTTCAGAATATCTATTTAACAGGAATCTACAGTATGTGCAGCAGAGCCCAGATGAAACGTTTGTTGAGCAAACTCTTTGAAGATTATTGATTGCATCATTTCCATTAGCAGGCGTTGGTATGATCATGTATTTAGGTCTACCTACAGAGCCAAACACAACATTAAATAGACAGGAATAGACTGTTAAATCGTTCATGCCGATGAGTTTTGTGGCAATTAATTGTCAACCAAAATTGGTCATTTTGACCCAGCCCTGTGGGTATTATTTTCTTTCCTGGCTACAAACTGGTTGACCTTCGGCGAATTTCGGTTAACGTTACAGTCGTCTTCAAACTTTCAAATCAAAGCAGACGCACACACGCGCTGATGCAGAGCAGAAAAGTCACATCTTGGAAAAGTCACCAATCTATGTATGCGTTTATGTGTACAGTGCAAAAACAATACTAGTAGTGCTCTGTAAGTGAGGGTGAGAGTGTGGTGTTCCTCTTTGAGGCAGAACCCTCCCTGCTTTTGGAACGAAGCTGTTTTGAGGGACTGCCCCTAAAACAAACGTGAGCCTGCATATGTCCCAGCAATTAGCAAGTATTCAAAATGCATTGTGTCAGTGGAAAGACGAAAACAATTTTCACAAAGGATTTGAGACTTTATTCAGCCCCCTTCCTTTGTATCAACAGCACACAGGATGCTAACAAGTAGTCTAATGAGAGGCACAGGCATCCGCACATAGGTGAGCTCAAAACGAAACCACAAGCATAGCAGACATTCAAGGATAGGCAAGTGAGAAAACAAACATTATTGTTTTTCAAAACGTTATTTTGAAAAAGTTTTGGCAGGTTTTTTTTTGCCAGCATAACTCTTATTTTTAAATGTTTTGTTGTTGTAGTCCTCACTTCGGCCATAAGAGGCTGACGTGCAGCACTGCCTCATGTTCTAAACGGGACCAAAAGCTTCCACGTTTGATCTTTTCCTCATCTCAGCAGCAGTTTAACATGTAATCGAGCAGGCGGATTGAACCCAATCCAAAGCTTCAGTGGCGGCATGTGCCACGTCTGATGAGCTGAGTTGATACATTTTGTCGGCCCGTACAACTCTTATACGTAACTTTGATGCAGTGCGGCCCCCCTCCAGCGTCTAAATCTACTTTTGTTTTGACCCGCTCCTTTGGGCCGGTCTCAGATTCCTTATCTTTTTCCTCTCTGACATCCGCATTCAGAGAATGTGTTTTTATACCTTTATCACAGTTTGCAGGCCAGGTTAACAAATACAGGAAACCGCTTTCAATACATGATTTATCTTGAGGAACGGCTTTGTGTCCTTCTAAAAGTCACGACCCGGTTACTTGATGTCAGCGGTGGGTCTTTTAGCGGCGGCTTAAAAAGTTCCTTTGCGTCCCAAGAGCACCCGGTGAGTCGACCTCGGTGTGATGATGCAGGAGGTCTGTCTTTTTAAAACCTTCAAACCCAAGCAACAAAATCTTCTTAGATCCATCTCTAATCGGTGCCGCTCGCCTGTGTCTCATCTTAACCCTCCGTGTGATAGCGGTAGGTGCGGTGGCCGATGAAGTCAGCCAACTTGTCCCAGGGTTACATTCCTCCCAGTCTTTTGGCAGGTTGGGACATATTTTTCATTTAGTTTTAAGTTCTCCAGAGATGGATTTCGTGACAGAGAAAGAGGAAAGCGGGGGAGTAGGAGAATCGGTGTGTCACGGTGATGATAAAAGTGAAAACTGGACTGTTGAACTGCTGTGTGTGGGAAAATTCTTCTTTATTTAAGAGATAAGTAAATGATAAACCTGAAACTGAGAGGTGCGTGCGTGCGTTTAACAGATAAGTAAATAATTAATCTACTTTTCATTGCACTGGTAGGATTCTACTGGATAACCATTAATGCAGTGGTTCTGTCACGCCCCACTTTGGAGGAAGAAAAATGTTCATGCCCCACCACCCCAACAAAATTGTAACAAAATGGTCCATGTTGAACTTTTATTGAAATAACAACATTGTGTGACTCCTCCATCTGTGCTTTTTCAAATAATAGAATAAAGAAAATTGCAATCACTTTCAAGTAAACCAGATTGCTCCATCAGACAAAAACAAACGCAATGTGCAATCACTTTGTTAGAACAATGCAAATACAGTTCAATCTGTGCAAAAAATAACTAATATTTGGCAAAAAATAGCTTATTGTGGCTGAAATTAACCTGTTTTGCACTGAATATCTTTCTAAGATAATAACAATAAACTGCAACCTGTGAAAAACTAAACAAAACAAGTTCAAATATTTGGCAATAAAGAGTTTTACTGAGTTTTACACTGCATATCTTTTCAAAACAACAATAACGTGCAACCTGTGCAAAACAAAATGAGTGCAGATATGTGTGAGCCATATGCTCACACATATCTGGAGCATTTTATTTAAAATATGAGCTTTAAAATGTAGCATTCTAAAAGTAAAATAATAGCTGTGATAATAATAGCTGCGCTTGGGTCTGTTAGTACACTGGCTGTGGTCATTACAGTGAACAGTGTGCACAGTGAACAGTGAGATGACATGTGAGCCCTTGTTGCTGTAGTTCATCTCCTGGGAGCAGAGTCTACATTTAGCATACCCTGTCTTATCAATGTATTTAAAACACTGTGACAGCAGGAAGTACTCACGTCTGTTTAGACCTCCACCTTTATCCAGGCCCAGCTCCACCTTTATCCAGGCCCAGCTCCACTCACAGCTCAGCCCTGCGTCAAGCTGCGCCACACAAACCAGCCTCCTCTCCCTGAAGCTCTTTGACCTCATCATCTCATCAGTATCTGGGCCTCATGTTTCGTGGTCATGAAAGTTATTCTGACCACGAAATCATCCTCATTCTACTTTGAGTTAAAACAAACAACCTGCAACCAGATGCGCCGGTGTTCTGGTTTAACGTTAATGAGTGACCGCGTGAACTGAACCGGAACACGGGGGGGCTGCATGTTTCATCACGTTACGTTTGTTCCTCCTAAATCGTGATAATGACGAAAGTTAATAGTCGACAAAGTTCCGCATGCAGTGGACGTTAACTTAACCCAGCAAGTCTGAACGGTAACGGAACATAACGTAACTTTAACGGAGGGAAATTAAGACGCTGTAGACATCTGAACGCTGATTGGCCAAGACTCGTCACATCAGAGATGTTTTATTGTGAAGATCACGACATCACCTTTTCTCCTTATCTCACTCCAATCTGAGAAACGCTGGCTGGCCAGTTGACCGCCCCCTCCCCAAAAAAAAACCTCTACGCGTTTCACGTGGATGATATATTTTGATTCAAAATGGCGAATTTCAAGTTTGTATGAATAAAGTTCTTGAAATAAAACAATTCTGCATTTCCCCCTGCGCCCCACCTGCAATACCGTCGCGCGACCCACAGTTTGAGAACCACTGCATTAATGAATGACCCAAGTGTGTGTTTGTGGTGTGTGTTTGTGGTGTGTGTTTGTGGTGTGTGTGTGTTGTTTGTTGTGTTTGTGGTGTGTATTGAACAAGCTTACATTTTTATTTCACAGTACAAGAAGTAAAATAATCTTTCCAGGTTTAGTTTACGAAGCATAAAATGTTTCGTGTTTTATATGACAAGGACACTTGGGACGCTTTTATTGTCTCATGTCTGGTGTAAATATCTATCGGTGATGTAACCAGGAAAACAAACAAACTGTGAGGTGGTTTCCTCTGGCAAAAGTCCCGTGGTTTTCCCGGCTGCAGCATGAGATACTCCGTCTACTCGTGCTCTGCTCAGGGGGAGAGGCAGGGATTTTCCCCTGCGACCGGCAGCCAGGGCACACGGGTGGTTTCATACTCTCACACCCTCTAGAAAGGGAAAATGAAACGGCCCAGAGAAGTCTTTTGTGATCGAGACATTCACCAGCAAAGCCTTTCACTTTCCTGTCACAGTCCCTTCACTGCTGCGTGTTTTTTCTTGTTTCGCCCTCATCGAGTTGCAGTGCGTGGAATCATTGAGTTAAGGACAAATAATGCTGCAAGTAGCGTTTGATTTTACTCGACATGAAAACACACGGAGAGTTCCAGTAGATAGTTATTGGACAGAGTTTTAGCGACTTGCCATAAAAGCAGACGTTAGCTACTTTATAGTGGAGGTTTTTCAAAGTCTGACGCACACACAACTGTCACTGGATTACCTTCATAGCAATGAAGAAAACCCCCAAATTGATGATTCTCAGGCAAGTTGTGGAGTCATAAGGTGCCTTTCCTCTGTCATTTGAAAGCAGATTTATTGACATTTATTTGCAGTGGACATGGAAGAGTTGAGTTGTGACTTCAAGACGGAGTACTACGAATTTTGATGCAATCACACTAAAAATAATACCCGTGCAGGACGTGGGAGTGATGAGATGTCAAAAGCACACGATCGTAGAATGCGGATGTACATTGGCTGAAGTTTCTCAGAGCTACTTTGGACGTGTGTTCGCTGTAAAGTGTTTCTTTAAAACCTGTGTGTGTGTGTGTGTGTGTGTGTGTGGTGCTGCACGGTATCGCGTCACGCTACAGTTTTGTTACTTCTTGTTACAAAAAGAAAGCTCGCAGGGTCCTCGTATCCCATGAATAATCCAGTGTTCCCCTTTCAGTAGCTATCGTCTAGACTTTCACTGAATATTTCATATTGAACACTTTCATATTGAACCCAACATATTTACCCTTCGAGTGGGGTCTGTACAGTCTGCAGGGGGGGATTCAACGTTCAAATAGTTTTTTAAAAGTTCTTCATAGATCTAGCATCTTCATTTTTCTCTCAAAGTGCACCAGAACGATGCATTTGACTTTGAAATGTACCCCAGAGAGGGTGACTACTACTGTGCTGTTCCATACCAGAATAGATATTGTAGAACATCATGCAGCCCTATCTATAAATCTATATCTATACCGTGTCCAAAGGTTGGTTATTGTTAAGGTTGTCTATTGGGTATGTATTAAGTTGTCTGGTATCTTAAAATGACGCACACATCCACCTGACTGCACACTGTTGTGGTAAGCTCAGAGAGCGTTGCAGTAGTGAACAATAGACTCCCTTCCTCTGGACTGTTGACATTCCCCTCCCCTTTCAGCAAAATATATTTTCCAGAAAAGGGAACGTGTGTGTGCGTGCGTGTGTGCTGAAGGAGGAATGGGTGGTCTTTAAAACTGCATTTCCTGTTTATTTGACTGTTTCCCGGCTTCACTTTCCTCTTTTGATCACATCATCCCGTTTGCCAATCTTTTGAATCTGTCAGAAACACTTTCTCTTGCTTTCCTCTTCTGTTCGTCTGTGTGCCCATAACGATAATGCCGCTTGTGTGCTATTTGACGTGCAAATTGCTGCCGACAAAGTAACGGCTAATGTCGGGCAACTTCCAGGCAGATTTATCAGAAACGTTAGAACTCTTGAGTGCACGGACATTAAAGAGAATATCGCACAAATACCATAATAAACAAATGGAGCCCGAGATGACCTCACAAAGGTGCACACTGTGTGAGGATCCTTGTCTTAGGTTGGTGTGTTTTTAAAAAAAAAAGAAGAAATAAAAGATGAATTATTTCATGTAATTCTCAGTGATACCAGACAAAAAGTGAGCCTGACTCTGTTTAAGTTAACCGATGAATTAATAATAAAAATGAGTCTGTGAGGCTGTAGTTATGAACAGTGGTGTTTTGAGCGTAATGCTGTTTACATTCATTTTTGCAATTATTGTACACTCATCTACCACGAATATTTACATTTTATTTTATGTATATTTTATCCCAATACTTTAACTTCTGCACCATTTTGTCTTAGATTCTTTCTTCTTTTCTTTTCTTTTATATATTTATATAATGAGCATTATTTTCATTGCCAGCAGGCTGCTTCTCAGGGTTCAACCTGAATGGTTTTTGTCATTCCCGTCGGGCAAGTGGCTCAGAAATCTATTTGCTTTTACTTGCCCCTCTACAAATTGTATAGATAGATCGATCTATCTTTCATTTACTAGAGATTATCAAAGACCAAAGTTGATTATCATGTTTTAATTCTTATTTAGGTAAATGAATCTGGAGTTTTGCCCTCATCCTCCAACTAAACTCCGGGTTCCACGATAACCGAAAGGCTCGCTTGCACTTCAGCTCATAAACTTCCATCTTTACCCACCGCCATCTTTTAATGAGGGAAGAGAAGGAAGCAATATGGCTCCTTCTAGAGAGGCACCGATCATGTTTTTCTGCCACCGTAGCAAATTGCTCATCGTCTGTGAGCCATATATGATCGTTTGCGTTTTTTTCACAACAGCTGGTACACAAGTCTTCAAAGTCTTTCACCACAGTCCTAAAAAATCATTTCCAGTCAACATCTTACAAGCTACCGTTTGAACACATCACGATAACGTTATAATTCACCTGCACCTTGTATTCATTTTTACTGAAAAGAGCTTGAACGCATCAGCTAGCTGGCGTTACCAGCTCTCCTCCTGCCGATTTTAGCACTCATTTGTTGTTCACGATGTAGTATTATCAGGGACCAACGACTTGTAACGACATTAATGCTGTTCTCACGATCGCATATTTTTACTGAATATCGTCCGTTAACGATGGGCAGACGATCAATCGGGGCATCCGTAGCTGCTTCCCTCATCGGCTCCGGAAAAATCTTATGTTTTGATTTCACTCACCTATTTTGCTGGCCCCTGGCAATCCTTATTGCTGAGTCCTACTTCTCTGTAATTGTTGAACTTGGAAGTTGAAACTGATTTGAAAGAACTGCAGAGAGGGCAAATTCCCCCATACTTGGCTAAAGTCACTTCACATCCTCTAGTAGATTTCCACTGCCTGCCTGCGTAACCTGTCAACACTGCGATGACTTTGAGCCCTAAAAACATATGCAATGCAAGTGAAATGATCACGTCTGTCTGTCTGTCCGTCTGTCTGTCAGGTTCAGGCTCAGGTGTGCAGCTCCCTGGCTGTTGCCCAGGCGCTGGCGGATGACGTGGACTGCCACGTCTTTCCCTTCAGAGAGTTCGGAAAAGGACGCATCAAGAAGCTACGCGTCAGCCCCGACGCATTCATACAGATCGGCTTACAGCTGGCGTACTTCAGGGTAAGGCTTCGACACGCTCACACACATTGTAGAGTGCAGAAATGCATATTTTTTTAAGATTGTACATGGTTGTTGTTTGGTTCCCTGTCCACTGCTGGATTGAGTTCTACTATTTGATGCTATGAAAGCTCGATCTGTATTAGATTAAATTGAAAAAGCTCTTTTTTTTTTTTTTTTAAATGTTTGCATCTTCTTCTCTTCTTCCTCTAGGACCGTGGTGGTTTCTGTCTGACCTACGAGGCGTCGATGACTCGTCTGTTCAGGGAGGGCCGGACGGAGACTGTGCGATCCTGCTCCAACGAGGCCAGTGCCTTCGTCGAAGCTCTGGAGAATGGAGAGGTACACAAAGTCCGAGATTATGCTCTCTTCCAAGTAACATTGAAATTGAAAGCTCACACAATTGTTTTCAACTCCTGCTGACCCCATTGTTCCTCACCATATTGTCAGAGGGAAGAAATACAGACTAACATGGGCTCAGACTCCTTAATCATCAGTTTTGTACTTCTGGTAAATCTAACATGTATGAATAATTTGTAGGTGATTCTATTTACGGTCACGTTCACACCAGCCTTGTTTGGTCGCGTTGAACCGGACCCTGGGGGGTTAAACCCCCCTTTGGTGCGGGTTTGTTCGGGTTGGTGTGAATGCCGGACTCGAACTCGGCTGCAAACTAAACCGCCGCTATCTGGTCCACCTCGAAGGGGTGGTACCGGACTGCTGTCATCTGTAGCGGTTAGTTTCTGGTGTGAACACCATTTCGCACCAAAAAAAAAAAAAGTTATCTTTTTCTGTTTTGGTGATAGACTGACTGTTTAGACCCGGCGCTGCCGCTGGCCACCAGCCCGCTGTTGGACACAATTTCTTTCACCGCTGTAGCATGAAAGCTAGCTGACAACACTTAATGCTTCATTAGCACACTCTTGTCACAGCTAGGAAAGCACATTGTTACTACAGGTGACGACTTTTATCGACTCATTTTCTGTACCTTGTCAACCGGTGTAGCATTAAAGCATGGTGGAATTAACTACATTAGCGTCAAATTCAACAACTTTGCGATGCACATCGCACCTCGACGCAACTGTTTGACCAATTATCAAACGGCATTTTGTTTACAATGTTTTTGACCATTTGAGTTTTGCCTTTTTATAACGCAAACCGGACCAGTTGGAATATTGAAAATGATGTATCATCCTCTCGTCGGTTCGATTCCGGAATTCCGAGCTTTCGGTGTGAGCCCGCCCTTAGGGATGTCGGTAAAGATGTGATTTGTTTCGACAGACCGAGGACCAATGCAAGCGTCTCTTCCGACTGGCCTCAGAGGGGCACCAGAACCTTTATCGACTGGCCATGACGGGAGCCGGAATCGACCGACACCTCTTCTGTCTGTACGTGGTGTCCAAATACTTGGGAGTAGAGTCACCCTTCCTCAAAGAGGTAAGCTTGTGGTTTTTGTTAAATGTTCCATCTCTATTTTAGTCTTTTCAGACTTTTTGACGCACAGATCTGTAATAGAACATACCCCCCCCCCCCTCTTCTCTTTTCCCCCCTCCTCCAGGTTTTGTCGGAGCCTTGGCGCCTCTCCACCAGTCAGACCCCGGTTCAGCAGATGGAGCTGTTCGACCTGAAGAACCACCCCGACTTCATATCGCTGGGCGGCGGCTTCGGACCTGTGAGTGACGCACACTTTCCTGTAGTTGTACCTGCATATGTCAACAGCAAGAACACAATACATAGTCTGAGTCTGACCGTGTGGTTGTAAACAATGGTATATGTGCACAGTGGATGGTGTGCGAGGTACATACGCTTATCTCACTTTACCTCTGTGCTCACGTCAGGTCGCTGATGATGGTTACGGGGTTTCTTACATCATCATGGGCGAGGACATGATCAGCTTCCACGTGTCGTCCAAATACTCCTGCAGCGAGACTGTAAGTAAAGCCTCAATCATCTACTTATTTAATGTATTAAAGTTTGCTTTTCTGTTACTTTTCATGACATTGACTGCACATTTGTGACCAACATGTTCAACTAATCGCCGGCATCCCTGGAACTTGAAAATTCCTAAAATCCGTGTCAACATAATTCATTCCAGCTGGTGACGTCTAGACCTGCAAAACTGGTTTGTAACGAGACCGTCTGGCTGTCTCCCACAGTGCGGAAGTATTGCGTCAGCATTCATTCATGCTCAAACCACAAATCACGTGACGGAGCAGAAGAATCGATGCAGTGCATCGCCGTCTGTTGTCACTTCCCTTCTCGTTTTTCCTGTGAAATCTAGGGAATTACATAAAGCTAGGGGGAAATGCTGCCTATCTGCACCGAGCTATCTGTGTGTAGATGCAGCGGCCGAGACGTTACCAGACGTTGCTGCACAGAAGTGACGAACTGGGTTTGAGATCATAAAGAAACAGCGTCTCCATTAGTTTGTCCACCAAAGAGCGGTGACGAGTTTATTTTTACAGCGCAAAATGTCCCACTTGGTGCGTTCATTTTAGACCATATTGCCCACAAAATAATAACAATGCTTCCTACAGATGTATTGTTTATCAGTATCGGTACGGCTACGAAGCTTAACACAACTGAAGCCACTTCTGTCTCTCCTTCCTTCTCTCTACGGGCTTTCATCCCACAATGTTAGACATTCTTCCTCTTTTTAATACTTTTGTTTTCTCCATTTTTAGGACTCCCACAGGTTTGGAGCTCAGATAAGTAAAGCTCTCCAAGACATCATGACTCTCCTCTCTACTGACCCCAAAACCTCGTCGTCGTCCTCCAAAGGCACGGCCCAGCCTCAGTCCAAGAAGCTCTTCTGAATGTGGAGCAGAGCAGCTCCCCCCCACGTGGACTAAATGTTCCCCCTCAAGACGTCCGAGCTGAGCCGAGAAACCACTAAGAACCCAATATCTAGATTCTGTAATTTTTAAAGCACCGCCCGTTCTGTGATTGACCTAAAGGCGTTACTTCAACTGACAAAAAGGGAATTTAACGAGGAGATCTCGGTCTAGTTAGAGAGTGGCGGGTGCTCTTCGTCAACACCTTTTTATTTAAGCCGCAACTCTGACGTGGCCGTTAGGCTCCAATCAAGCAGAGAAAAAACGAGGCACGCTGAAGACGCAAGGAGCCCCTTTATGACGGGGGATCTGTGGCACAATGTTATGATTTGCATTCTTCCATTTAAAAACGATTTGAAAGCCTTTTCTGTGTGAACGGGCACTAACGGTGAGAGTCTGTTAGAGAAGGTTAAAGCTAGACAGCGTGAGATTACAAAATTCTTCAAGTCCCTGCTCTCTGAGAACATGAAACCAGTGATGGTTGATCGGTATTTTTAACTCTCTTTTTTTTTAAGAAAAGGGGAGCCAGGCTCATCACAGAGGAAGGAAGTTATTATGACGGCAATAAAAAACGGAGAAAGGGAGACAGATCTCCCTGACAAATGCAACAAATCTCAATAGAAGTGATGGCCGACGTCTCTTCAGCTCGTCGGCGAGAAGCGATTCTGTGCGGCTCGACACACTGACACTTTGATGTCCGCTGTCAGATTTAGAAAAGCTTGAAGGGGGAAAAGGAGGTGAAACGAGGATAAGATCAATCTCAATGAAGGGAACGAGTCACTTGCAGATCTCCAACCAGAAGAGACACTTTTTTCTTTTTTTAAATTGTCATTTAATTCTAGACGTTCACAAGCTAGAAAGAGTCCTCGTCTAATCAGTTCCAGGGCTGCTTCTACCCATCACCTGACCTCATGTACCACGGCCTGAATCAACAGTTTCTTTACAAACAGGTAGCAGTACAATGCATCCTAAAGGATACTGTGTCTTTCATACAACACATGCTATTTACTGTGTTGAATATTTCCTCCAAAGTAGTACGCCAAATCAGTGTTGTGATCAAAAGGAACTATCAATACTACAATGTAAAAAACACTCCACCCCAAGTAAAAGTCCTGCATTAAATAAAAATACTATTAGCACATGTACTTAAAAGTATTCATTATGCAGCTGAACTTTAACTTCTTGTATATTGTAATAAATGATTAATCAACATGTAAGCGGGCTTTAAAGTTGTCGCTCGTTAAAAGTAAGCAGTGACTCTGTCTCTCAGATCATTGCTGTCCAGGAAAAAGTAGAATATTTTCCTCTGAAATGTAGTTGAGCAGAAGATACTCAAGTAAAGTGCCAAGTACCCCAAACCTGTACCTTTTTACATGTGTACACATGCAAAAAGCTGCGTGCCAGCCGGAAGGCTGCCAGCTCTAATGTTATCTGAGCAGCAGTGCTGCGTTCACCCGGGAGCCGGGGGGCAAAAAGACTCCTCAGCATTACATCACGTTTAATCTATTCTTAAATTCCATTGCTTTCAATTCAGATTATCTGATGACACTTGTTTTCCATATTTAGCAACCGCATGAAAGCGGTAGTTTGGTGACTCAGGCCGTATCTTGAGATCAGGTGGTGACTCTGACCCCGATATTATTCCATTTATGACCAACGTCTTGAGAGGATGGAAGGAATGAAGGAAAGGAAAGGGAGAAAAATAAATGCAAATGACTCTTTCATAATTGTTTTTACGTTTTGTTTTTTTTAACTTTGTATTGTCCGTTCAGTAGATTGATGTTTTAGGTTGAATGTTTTGGATAACTACGGACATGCTTCAGCTCAACAGACACGGCTGCTGCTGTTGAATGAAACGCACCTGAAGGTGGTCAGAGGCCTACGCAGAGCTGCTGCTGCGTGTTATACAGTTTTTATTATTATTGATGATGTGGAATCCTTGTTCAAACATTCTTCTTTCTTCATCGAATGTCACACCAGGAGTGCCCACCCCAAAAAAAAAAATCGAATTTGTCGTTGAGCAATGGATAATCCCAATATAAATCATATACATTATAATAACAAAGTCAAATCTACAGTTGATACTCGCAGTAGTGGTGGGGCGGGTTTGTGAAAGATAAGATACTCAGAAGGCATTATAGGAAACACGTGTGCCTGAAATAAAGTATTCATTCAGTAAAACAATTTCAATGCAATTTATTTTTCTTTTTTGATCAATGCTAACATGTGTAACGTGTATTAACCCGTCTTGTTTGTTTGTGTGTGTGTGTGTGTGTGTGTGTACAAGTACTTCAGGCAGGCGCCTTGTTATCGTCAGTTACTGGTGTGTCTCATGTGCGCCGGTGAAACAACGGATCTATTTAACGCTCTTACAGTTCTCAAACTTTACGTGAGCTAATGGGAAACATTAGAGATGACGTCAGAAAGATTGTCTCACATCTCCGCTCGTGTTTTTCTAACTATACCATAACTTTATGTCTTTTTTTTTTTTAGAGATTGTTTGCTTCATATTTTAGTGACGTCAGACCACGGTGGCTTCCGTTTCGGCTCGGCGGTTAGCGGCTCATTTCCCAAACTGTTGAAGCCGTTTGTTCCCTCTGATCCTCGCGGCTCCGGCCTCACGTTAGTAAAAGACGAGTGAAGACCATTTCTACAGCTGCAGCAATGTACTGTAACAACCTCTCTACCTCTCGACGCTTTTTTTATTTATTTTATTTTTTTTACAGTTTTTAGTTTTCTTTTCTCATATTTTTTTTTACATTATTAATTTGTAATTTTACCACAACCGTTTATTACCCCGGTAATCGCATCGACTTGGATCTAAACCAGTTTGTCACGTTTTATTGTGATCAGTATATTTGGTTCATTAAGTTCACAGTTTGGGAGCTTCAGTTAAATACGACAGATGTGATACAGATTAATTCTCATTACTGTCAATTTCTCTTCACTTCACGCCTCAGCCTGCCAGAAAACCACAAAGCCTGTTCACCTATTCTGTGCCTCAGTCCACTCCAATGTGCCGCATATATTATTATCATCATCAAGTAATATCTGATGGAATCAGGCGTTCAACAGTTTGCACAATGAGCCTCTCGCAGATAAAGCAGCGACGGTTTAGCAGCAGTTTTATAGTTTTCTTTGTTCGGAGTAAATGAACATTGGCACCGACTGATTTGTTTTTGGGAGATTTGTTTATTGTTTATTTCTGTGTAATGTTACTGCTGGGTTTTTTCAGTCTTGGTTAATAGTGATGCTTGAACATTTTTAATGAAGTGGTGGGTATCATGCATCATGTGTTTTTAATGAATATACTCCAAATGTTTTTATTCTGCTGTGTTTTCGGTCAACGGTTCTCGCGCTGCAACTTATTTAAATGTAGATTGTGGACTTTGTGATGGAGGCCATGTACAGTTGGTGATGGTTATGTGAAATAAAAATACTTACTGACCCCAGAGGGCCTTTGTATTTGTTGTGTTCTTTAACTATCGAGCAAAACCGGATATTGCCAGGCTGTTTGGGATCGTGGCTCACTGCACTAAATGTCAGTTGAAACACAACCTCAGTGGATTTTTAAATACAATACTTTACCGCTTAAGATGGATTTCTTTAAATACAAGTTATCACCTATGAGGATTTGAAAATATAAATATAAAAAGTTCCTGATTGGAGTACTTTCTTTAATTTAATTTTAAAAAAATATATATTTTTTATAAATGCTTAAAATGTTCCCCTGCTGTATGAAGCCCATCTCTGCAGGAAAAACAAGGGAAAATACTCGAGAAGTGAGTCATAGTTAAAATGACGATGCTCATTGTAAGTTGGCATTGTGTAAACGCTCAAAGTATCCCATGCTTTTAAATGATCAAAAATGCATGTCTTAAATTTTCTCATAACTCACCTTTTTTTTCCCGTGTGGGCGACGCGTCCATTCCTGACTACTAACGACACACATCAGACTACTGCAACTGCATGTTCGCGCTTGTGGGCAACGTGACTCGCTCAAGAAACAATTGCAGCCATGTAAAAAGTTTCACAATTCAGTGTTTTGAAAAGTCTTTAACTGTCTGGGTTATTCTAGTCCAGATTTGATCAGTCAGTGGCTTCTTTTGATCTGGAGCTGGTCCAACGTGGTCTACTGCAGGTGTAAGAAAAGCAGTGAAGTCTCCTTTCACAAATATAACAAATAAGGTTTCGCAAATGAGGCCTAAATGTCAGCAAAAAAAAAAGTCTTAACAGCTTTCACAAAAGTAAGAGGTGCGTAAAAAGAAAAGGGAGAATCTGTCAATTCAATTTCAGTTTCAATTTATTTTGTGTATCACAAAATTGCAAATTTGCCTCAGAGGGCTTTAACATCCCCTGTCCCAGGACCCTTGCATTGGAACAGGAATTGTTATTATTCTATTGGTTTATTTGGTAGGCACAGTGCACTTTCATCAAACATGTGCAAAGAGGCTATCTTTCATCTGTAGTCTCTGGACAAATGTTACAAAGTCACCCTAAAAGCAGAATATTAGATTAAAATAACAAAACTCTGCATTATTTACCTGTTACAAAGCATGCAGAGAGAATATTAATATATAAGTAGAAACATCATTCAGGACACCCTTGCACTGCTTTGTCAAGTAAAGACGTGCAACACAGAGGCTCGTAAAGCAACACATACAGCAAATGAATGAGGGATGATTCTGTCAAATAGAAATGTGGACTAAAGACAAGATTCTGTTGCATTGTTGGACACTTAAAAACACGCGTGTCAGAAGCACTAAACATTAAAGCATGTCGAATATATGAATCTGTCTGTTGGGGATTCGACCCCTGAGTTGCTGATTTAAAGATGATTATTGACCACTACAGGGTTCCGGTCAGAGAACACGCAGACATCTGTTTGATCCATACGTTTCTGTATTCAGTCTTATAGTTTGACAGATTTACAGATGATGAGTCTGAACAATAGATGACCGATGAATGACCGAGTTTCTGAAATAAACACAGAAAATAAATTATAGAGCTGAAATACTAGCAATAATACACTCTTAAAGCAAACGCATACATTCACAGAATACAGGCTTGCTAGCCAGGTTAGCCACTTAGCTCAACTTTGGTCTATTATCTTGACGGCTAATTACATTACAAACACTGACAGTAAATGCACTTAAAAACATTAAGTACAACAACAAACGGAACAGTTACGCCACATAGGTTCAGCATGAGGAGGATGTTAGGAGTGATGGGGTCAGGGTCAGCGACATCTGCTGACACATACCCTAGTGGTTTTGAGTTTAGGATGCCTTCGACCTCCACTAAAGTTGTGTAGAGGACGTCTTCAGAGACTGATTGGCTCCCAACTGCGACTTGAAGGCCGGCCTTTATGGATCGAACCTCTCTCTCCAATACTCCTCCGAAGTGAGGAGCGCTCGGCGGGTTGAACTTGAAGTCGATCTGGTATTCCATCAGCTGTTCCTTCAGCTGTGGTTCCATAGCTGCAAAAGTCTCACGGAGTTCCCGCTCAGCACCACGGAAGTTGGTACCGCAGTCTGATAGGATCTCCTTCGGTCTGCCTCGCCTCGCGATGAACCGACGAAGAGCAAGGAGGAAGGCATCTACATCCAGAGAGTTGAGGAGTTCAATGTGGATGCCGCGGGTCGTGAGACACTTAAAGATGGCACCCCAGCGCTTTTCAGTCCTCCTGCCTATCTTGATCAGGTAAGGGCCAAAACAGTCGACACCTGTTGAATAGAAAGGTGGACAGAGAAGCCGGAGGCGCTGTGGTGGCAAGTCCACCATCTGTGGGACCTTGGGCTGAGCTCACCAGCGTTGGCAGGATGGACACTTGAGCTGGTGGTGTCTGACAGCTTGTCGTCCTCGCAAGATCCAATACTGCCTTCGCAGTTCTGCATACACCCGCGCCGTACCTGGATGAAGCAGACATTCGTCCATGTGTTTGATGAGGAGCTTTGTTGCTGGGTGCTTTGGATCAAGCACAATCGGATGGATCTCTCCTAGGTCTGTGTTCTGCAGCCTTCGCAGCCTCCCTCCTACTCGGACCAAGCAGGTTGAGGGGTCCCATTCTGGGGCGAGGCTAACCAAGCAGCTGTGGTTTGGCACCGGTTTCTGTGCTTTAAGAGCGGTGACCTCCTCTGGGAAGCTATGGGCTTGACACTTCAGCAGGAGGATCTCCGCATCCTGGGGGTTAGTAGTTTGGCGGTATTTCGGACCCTCGGCCGCCCCTTGAGCACCATGGCTTGCTTGACGAGTGGCCTCTACCAACTCCTTCCATGTACTGAACTGAGAAGCATCAGGGAGATTGTCCTTAGGTTCCACTGTTGTGAAGCCGCAGAATGTGATGCCCTTTAGTTCAGCTGAACTCACTGCTGTAGCATGCTCAGTCTTCCTTGGCCAATGCTCAGCACTCTGTTTTAAGAATGGAGGCCCTTGACTCCAACGACCGGACTCTGCCAGCTCCTCTGAATAGATAGCTGCCTTCTCTGGATCCTTCTTGAGCCGTTTCTCTGTGGCTTGCAGATGTGCTATGACTGAATGAGTCGAACTGTTCAGTTGAGGGGCTCCTCTCCTCCTCAGGAGAGGGGTTGCATAGCGTTGAACACCTTCAGAGTTGACCCTCTGCATCTTTGTCTCTAAGAGGTTCATGGCTTCTTGGTCCTCACGGCAACGAACTACCAATTTCTCGTTTCGAAAGGGCAGAATGTCAATTTGCCCTAACTTTTCCACGTTTCGGCACAGGTCATTAGGAGGAACGACTGTGGTGAAAAGACATTGCTGCACTGCAGTTGGCTGGGATCCACACATTTCGGCACCTTGTAAAGCCCATCCGAGGGCAGTATGGATGGCAACAGGTCCACTGTTAGCTCCTCTACGTACCGGCTTAGTGGCAGTAATCAGATGTACGTGATCTGATCCAAGCAACACCATTGGACGGGCGTTAAAGAAAGACTTCAATGGGATCCCGCGCAGGTGAGTGTGTCGTCTTTGGAGTGTTTGCACTGGGTAGGTTTGCTCTACTAGGTCTAGGCCTTCAGCTGTGAATGCTCCCTGCACTTGTAGTGCTTCTGTGGGTTATATCTGGGGGAGATTTCAAAGTTGACCTTTGATCCGTGTAGCTGCTTCAGGTCTGTCCGCACTGTGCGTAGGGAAATAGTCTCAGACTCACCGGTCAACTGGAGCTGTTGTGGCAGGATGATAGTCCTCTGTGCGCCATCATCCAGGATAGCAAATGTCTCCATAGACATGGACTTGTTGTGCAGCAGGATGGGGACTACTTTCAGCAGTACTTTGCTTGATGTAATGCTGGGTGTCAGGTAGACTCTGCTTTCTGTGGCCCCTGACTGTGAGTTGATGGTTCGACGCTGTGCTACACCGTGGAGGACTTGGAGGTGAATACCATTGCAGTCACTACAGGGTTTCTTGAGGTTGCACGACTCAGGCGCATGAGTACGTGCACATTTCCAGCAGCGCCTTCCCTCTGTTATCCACTTATCCAGATCAACTGCTGACTGCTCTGTGATACTGCGACAGCGACTGATATAATGTTCTTTGCTGTCACAGAAGAGGCATTGTATTTTGAATGGTTTCTTGGATTGTGTGTGGTTACTGGAGGGACTCTGGGGCCCTGTACTGTGATATACAGAGACACCTTGACCTTTGCCTTTTGACGTGATCTTCTCCCTTCCATTTACTTGGGGTTGTCCTGTTTGGTAGTGCTGCACCAATCTGCTGGACAGGCGCTGCTGTTGAGCTTTACCTTGAAGCCATACATTGAGATCTTGTAGGTTGTAGGGGTTGAGACTTGTGCTATTCAGTTTTCCCTGAACTTGTAAATACTCAATAAACCCATCTCTATGGTACTTTGGTAGCTTACTAAGTAAGCGGGCAACATGAAAGCAACAGTTTAGCTCCATACCCTTGGGTCCCTCTAAGGAGAGCAGCATACTCACTAGGAGGTGGACTCGTAGGGCGAAACTCTGGAAGATGTGGGCATCACCAGGCTTCACATCTGGGGTGGTCAGAATGGCTGCTATCTCACTTTGTGCCATCTGGTGTGGCTGACCATACTGTAACTGCAAGGCTTGCATAGTTGCTGAGTATGGGTTTGGATGGTGGCGGCAAGACTGACCAATCATCTGCGCCTCGGGCAGCTTAAGATGTTCGAGTAGCACGTGATATTTATACTTCTCGGACAGTTCTGTATGAGGCTCGAGCAGATTGTCTACAGCCAGCTTCAGGTTAGCGAACTCCCTTTCGCAGTCAGTGGAGAAGTCTGGGATTTTGGGTGTTGGCACACCATATGCAGGGCGGTGTGGCAGACCAGAGCTGTATGGGGTCACAGTCTGACCTGATGGCAGCTGCATCTGATGAGCTGGAGATGAATTACCTCTGGGCACAAATAGAGTCTGCTGAAGTGGTGGTAGTGATGAAGGCACTGTAGCATAGTGAGGCGGGCCATGGCTGAAAAGGCCGTGAGGCATCTTGTGGTGAGTGGTAATGCTGTGTGGCTGGATAGCTGTAAGAGACTGCTATAGGCTCATGCAGCGGAGCAGTAGCAATCAACTGTCCACGCGCTTGTCCTTCATCACCACGGTGGCGAAGCAGCCCTGAGGTAGGCTGCAGTGGGTCTGACTTAGTAGGGTACTGCTGGACCGGAGTAGGTGTCATCATGCCTGATGAAACTACAGAACACAAGTAGCCCAACTGCTCTGATGAGGCTGGAAGCACTGGGGTAAATGCAGAATTTAGTCTCTGGTCTCCTGCTATAGGAGTGTAGGCTCTAACTTCAGTCTCAACCTCTGGTCTCCCAGACATGTGTCCTGTTATATGTCCAATAGCCTGAGGCTCCGTGTCCTTAGCCTGCTCCTCTGTCAATGAAAGCAAGCGGCTTGGGGAGAAGAGGGACATCTGGGGGTGAGGCACGGGAGATGAAGGTATTGATGGGGGTGTGGCACTCTTTCTGGTGTCATGACCCTTGTCTATCTCTTCTTCCATCATGAAGGAAGAGATGTGTTCCAACAGCTCCTGACGACGACGACGTCTGGTTTCATACTGCTGGAGTTTGTGTGTTAGTTGAACCACTTCAGCGTCCTCTTCCTTCTCGTTCCTAGAGATGGATTCGATGAGTTGTTTAAGGGAAGTGCTGTTCAGCAGGTCATCGGAGCTGGGGCTGTGTGAGGCTGTGCGTCTGCCCAGATAAGAGGCTGCATCCGCTCGGCTACGCTCTGCTGCGGCCGCTGCTCCTCTCTGCTCCTCTCTGCTCCTCTCTGCTCCTCTGTAGAATAGGAGGAAAGGGCAGGTCGCTGTGGATTGTAGGCAAGGACATGATGTCAAGATCAAGATGTTTGGGGACGCGATGATGTCTCACGTGATGCTGCTGATCTTTGAAATGAGGCTGATGGATAGATCTATCTTCAGATGTCATCTTCTGTAGTAGTCAATTAATCCGGCTCGAAGGACCATTTGTTGGGGATTCGACCCCTGAGTTGCTGATTTAAAGATGATTATTGACCACTACAGGGTTCCGGTCAGAGAACACGCAGACATCTGTTTGATCCATACGTTTCTGTATTCAGTCTTATAGTTTGTTGACAGATTTACAGAATGAGTCTGAACAATAGATGACCGATGAATGACCGAGTTTCTGAAATAAACACAGAAAATGAATTATAGAACTGAAATACTAGCAATAGTACACTCTTAAAGCAAACACATACATTCACAGAATACAGGCTTGCTAGCCAGGTTAGCCACTTAGCTCAACTTTGGTCTATTATCTCGACGGCTAAATACATTACAAACACTGACAGTAAATGCACTTAAAAACATTAAGTACAACAACAAAAACGTAACAGTTACGCCACATAGGTTCAGAGTTACTAAAGAACAATAAAACACATGGAGGGTTGACAGACGGACAGATTGAGAACAGTAAGGTGCAGTTCCTTTCTAGTGCTGACAGAGCTGGGTGCTAATGGACCATTTATTTCAATGAGCCGTATGTGTCTAGTTCTCTAATGGTCACTGGGATGGAGTTACATTCTTAGTGCAGCTTTTACACAAAATGCAGACTGACTGAAAGCACTTTTTCCTGAGTGGGATAACGCAAATCCACTCTCGCTGCACCTCCTGTGACCCGAGGAGATATCCAGCCATATGTAATCTTGTATTACCAATTACGAGCAGCAGTGGACATGATGGAATAATAACTAAAGCACTCATGGTAGCAGTCAAATAAAAAGTAAATTCCCTTTTAACTTTCTCCTTATCTGCCGAGTCTGGTCGTAGGTATGCCTGTTTCATGTTGATCGGTAAGGTGCGCCCAAGATGAAATTAACCGCAGATAAGAGCACTGTGTTTGACCTTTACGCATGGTTGGGAGCTCTCCGTCTTCTGCTTAAAAGGAGGGTTTACAACTTTCCACCGGCTCTGTTCTGTTCTTAGTTTTAAGTGTTTAGTCGGACTCAAGTCCCCGTTTGGAAACTCCGCGGATGATGTAACGCATGAGGAGAGTGAGAGAGACCGAGAGCGAGAGAGAGAGAGAGAGCTTTGCTCTTGAAAAGGTGGAAAGTGAAAGTAAAGTTGTCAGTAGGAGAATGGGAGTGACCCTGGAGCGCAGCAGCAGCAGACGAACGACGCAGACACCACAGCAAGGTGGGCTCACTGATGCAGTTACTATTGTGTTTTATTTTTTTATTTTTTTTTACTGTGCGTCTGACTGAGGTCCTTTGAGAACATTTAAAACAAGCATTACGTGTTTATGGAGGCAACGTTAAGAGTCTCAACGTCGGTTGAAACGGTGGGTGTGCGCACGTAGATCCGGAGGAGACGATAGAAACCCTGGAGCGCACTGCGGACAAAGAAAATAGTCCGGCCCGTGTAAAGCCTGGGAGGGAGACTGTGATTGCGTGAAGAGGGAGAGAGAGAACCCCTCACGTTAGCTGTAGCCTCGTTACGACCCTTATCTGTTTATCTGGCCCAGCCGATCGCCTCGGTAGAGCTTCCTCTCGGTCTGTTGGTTTTGGTTTGGCGCGTCATTCTTTTCGATAAAAATCGATTTATTTATTTAATTAAAATTTTTTTTTTTTTCATCACGACTCTCCTGCATTTGTGGTGGAACGGGAATGGATGACATCGTTTATCAATATTTCCCTTTTGTTGCCAAGTCATGTGGAATGATTTACGAAAAAATGTATATCATATTTCATGCACATTTTAACACTTAAAAGGGCAAAGACTAAGCACTATAATGGACATATATATACAGTTAGTAAATTTGTAAATCCATGTGGTTTTCATCTGAATTTTAAATACTTAAGATTTCAGTCTGGAGTCTTCTTGTCCATACGTGAGCTTTGAGTATTCAGAATTGTGTCCATAGGTTCATTCATATTTGTGTGTACACCACAGAAATACAACAGGAGTCGAAAGGACGTTGACCCAGCGCTGCCGCCGGCTACCGGCCCGCTAGTTCGGCTCATTTTCTGTAACCAGTGTAGCGTTAAAGCGATGTGGAAGCTAACTAGCTAATTGTTCGCTAGGTAGCCAGCTAGCTTGCTAATTCCACCATGCTTTAATGCTACACTGGTTACAGAAAATGAGCCGAACTAAGTTGTCACTCGTCTGGCGATGGCAGTGTACTTTCCTACACTGTGACAAGAGTGTGAGGATGAAGCATTAAGTTGTTACATTTTTCTCATTTAGTCTGGCTCTCTACGCTTCGTAATGTTGCTGTAAGTCGGTTTAGCGTAATGGTCTCATACCAACGCTTCCCATAAAAATGGCCGCAGCTCTGGCCATCGCTATGTATAGATTTGAATAGGAATTTCTGTCTAACTCCTCTTTTATGTCTATGGTGTGTATACAATGGAGAAAACTGTAATAATCTTTCTGGGAATGTCGCGACACACACAGTGTTTATAATGCTGCAAATATATAAATATTGCAATACTATTGCCAGTCTCAATCACCATTGTGTTACCTCCTTTGGCTTTAACAGACATTTATTTAAAATAAAATCTTCAAGATTGCCACTTTAAAATTATGGGTGGGAATACTTTTATTAGAATGCCAGATGGCCAATGGGTCACTGGTTGCAGTACACTGGTATGCAGACCAGTAGATACTCGCTAGCTCAGCAACATTAAAGTTGGCCAGGGGCCATTGTTGCATGTCATACCCCTTTCTGTCTCTCTCTGTCTAAGTTTCTTATCTCTTTCTCATTGTCAACTCTCAACTATCAAAGGCAGTAATGCTGAAACAAATATTTAAAAAAAAACACTGGATACTTGCTCCATTATCTGAGATCATCTGCTGTTGGTAACATGTAAATGTTTAATCTAAAGCAGAAACAACTAGTCAACCGCAACTAACTTTTTCGAGAAAAAATGCAGAACAACAGAAAATAGTTGACAGATTAATCGCTGATGAAAACAATTGTTAGTTGTAGCTCTAGTTTCGTCCTTTAATATAATATAACGCCTTCTTTATGTATAAGTACATGATTTAAGTATAATTTTCCATTTTGTACACTAAACTTTGTTGGCAACAAAAACTGTAAGAGATTATTAATATGTTACATATCTCCAAAGTCAACATAAAGTAAATTTAGAATACGTTTTTTAAATTTGTTATTGTGAATTGTGTTTTACAGGCTTTGTGTAAGCACGATTTGCAGCGATGCGTGTGTGGTATCCGAGGTGGAGTCTGTCATGTCCTGCCTTGAACTCCCACAATATGCCTGCACAACACAGATACAGTAGCTTACAAATCCGAGCAACGCAACAGATCAGTGAGTTGTGACGTGAATGTATGAAGTGGCCTCAGTGACTGAAATGAGTCGACATGGGAGTCCAAGTGATGATGAGCTGGAATGTGACTTTCACTTCCTCTCTGAAAAAACGACAGTTGACCTGGAAAAGTTGACCTTTTCCTTCATTTGTCCTCAGTGTCTGCTGCTGTTTTTGGCAATGGCTATATTTAATGGGAGCTGCAGTTGATTAACAATGAAAAGGAAGGTCTCAGACAACAAAAACAAAAAAAAACAAAAACAAAAACAAAAAAAAATATATATAAAATAGTGATTTTTTTAAGGTCAACAAACAACATCGCTGCAGGTTGGACCAACTTGTTTAACGTTACCGTTGCAAACAGGGCGAAAATACATGAATTAATTTATATTATTATGTATTTCTCTTCTTAAAAGAATACAGAAAGACAACGCATATGTATGTATTTTTAGGGACCTCCGCCTCGCTCAGGGGCAGGCGGCAACCTCGGGGTCTGAATAACTTGCATTCTTTCTAGTGTCCAGCAGGGGGCGACTCTTGGTTGCAAAAATAAGTCTGATTGTATAGAAGACTATGAGAAAATGACTCTACTTCTCTCTTGATTTATTACCTTAGTAAACATGAGTTTATGATCTCAATCTCTAGTTTAAAGTCTTCCAACACAGCGTGATGTTCATTGAGTAATTGACGGTGCCTTTTACAGTAAAATAGACCATAAAGCAGGGTATGCTTTAGGGTGTGAATACCCTACAACTTGATCCCTTAAACAGTCTGTTTTTAGTTCATTAAACCTAATGAAAACATTTTGGTGGCTTAGCTCCCCCCTCTCGTGTCACGTGTGGTTGCAAAAAACCAAGATGGCGACGGCCAAAATACCAAAATTGATGCTTCAAAGCGGCAACCCATAAAACAAAAGGTGTGTTCACGAGGACTATACGTACACTTCTTATATACGGTCTGTGCTCAGAGGCCATCCGTCAGAGAGGCAAACTTTAGGATTTATCCGAGAACCCATTTGCAAAATGTACAGGTCTAACGTGACGAGGATAGAAGTAGAATGCATAGAGATGTCAGCATTATGTCCATAAAGTAACACAGAGAGAACATGAAAGAAAATGCAGTAATGTATCTTTTATGACCCTTGTCTTGCTCAGAGGCTATCCTTACCATGAGAATACTACTTTAGGAGCAAAGAAATTCAGACAGTCAGCTGTTTTTTCTCACAAATTTATGACTTTATAATCTCAGAGAAGAGATTACAACGGCCCTAATACGCCATTGTAGGCATGCGACCATTTAAGGGGAGAAAATCATAATATGAGTGCTCAAACTAAATGGATTTGTTAGCATGGTTGGGCTTCCACTTCCTTTTAGATCCTATGATGAATTAGTGTCCCATTAGTGTCCCAGGGAGTCAATTAGCTTATTTTTTTTGTTCTGGTGGACTCTAATTCATCCATTAAACAATTAATATTGTGTTTTTTCCCGTTAGTTTGTCACTCATTTGTATGTGTATACCATCATATAATCTATAAGATGGTGAACAGGAGCCATTAGAGAGTCGACTCAGGTTTTATCTAGAGATCAGGTTTCATTTGATGGTAATATTCTCAAATTGAATCTTGCGTGTGTGTTGTTGTTTGTGTGAGTGATGACGAACCCAATGACAGACTCTCTTCTTCTTCTTCTTCTTCTTCTTCTTCTTCTTCTTCTTCAGCGTGACTCTGGATGGTGTCAGCATGACATCATGGACATACATGACCCACATATTTGTCTTGGTAAGTGTCCCCCACGCTGCACTCCTTGTGAGCTCAGCAGCTCGTCGCTCCGACAATATAACGTATTGCTATGTATGTTGTGTACATGCTTTCTCTCAATCACCCAGACTATTCAAAAAACGACCATATTTAAAAAAAAAATTTTCATGCCGCTGTTAGGTGTTCCTGAACGCAATTGGTCTGTCGAAGGAGGCGTGTGACGACCACCTGGACATGGAGTTCTGGGTATGTAGTCATCATTTGCTTTCATCAGTGATTCTGTTTGAGCAGGACACCAGCAAAAGGAAAACTATGAGGGAAAATCACTGTCAATATCTGCGAGCACAAATGAGATCCACTCGCACGCAAATTACTCTTGCCAGCGCTTTCACATCACTTCTCTACTGGTGGTAAATATTGTACTTTAACTGCACCACATCTCAGACATAAATATTATAGTTTTGTCTGACAACTTTTGTTAACTGTTCAGACTGCAGAGCTTGATGTAATACAAAGCATGTTAAAAGAAAAAATGTAGTTCTATATACTATGAACAAAAAACTTGGACCCGGTTAAGGATCTGGAGCCAAGGTTAGGAATGACTGGTTGTATATTAACTGTTTGCCAAGTGAGTTCCCAAACTTACATCTCTGACAAGTAATTAGTGGATGAAAAAGTATTCAGATCCTTCACTGCAGTAAAAGTACTAATACCATCCTGATAAAATAATCCACTACAAGTAAAAGTCCTGCATTCAAAATATTAGTCCAGTATGTTATTATCAGCAAAATGTACTTGGAAGTACCAAAAGTAAAAGTACCCGTACAGTAAAATGTTCCCTGTCTTTAGTATTGTATCTGATGTTTCGGGATATATATTGCTGCATTAATGTGTATGTTGCATGTTGGTTAGTTTAATCTACAGCAATGCATCACATTCTATAAGGTATGTTTGTAGTTTTATTACAGTACAGTACAATATTTACCTCTTAGATGTCGTGAAGTAGTGTTCAGTGGCGGATTGAAAACCGCCACCTAGCATCTGCATCAGGGGTGATATATGACCAATCCAAAGACGAGTAACCAATTAAATCCAGTGATACAATGTTGACTGGGTCCGCCCACTAACTGTAAAAAAAAAGAAAGGAAAAGAGAGAAAAACCACTCGCGAGCAAGCAGGTGAACGCTTCGCGAAGCATGGTTTTTTTTCTGCGCGGAGTGATTTAAAAGGGCTCGCAAAAGTAATTTGTCATTTTGACGTACCTCTACACGCACGCACGCATGATGATATCGGATCTCATTTGGGCTCGCTGATATTAACAGTGATTTGCCCACTCCCTAAAAATGTTATACTGTTAAAGTTCTTGAGCCTTAAAAGTTAGTCTGTCTCAAAACAATAATTCTAAAAATCATTCACTAATAATAAACAATTGACAATGTCTTTTGTCCGTCCACTTCTATGTTCCACTTTCAAGGCAAATGAAAAAAATGGGACAAATCTGAATGACACCTTCTCCCTCGTGACAACTAAAGATCCCAAGGTAACTCACTGAGACAGTGAGCACAAATGATCTCTTGAGGTTCTATGTAAATACATGTAAATGCATATCGTTCAATAGGGACTGGACTGGAATGGATTGATCAAGCGTACATGTGTGCTCTTCCCAACACAGGACACAGTGAATTGTAGTTTAGAGGTCGAGTGCCTGGAGAAAGGAGACGGGATTGGGTGTTACCTGCTAAAGCTATGCCTTTTTAAAGTGAGTGAACAGAAGCCAACTTTCATTTTCTTCAAGTTGGTGTCACGTTTGTTGTTGCTTCGATTGTGACTTTTGTGAATGATTGTGACGTTCCATGTCTCACTTGTCTCACTAAACTAATACATTTTTTTTTACCACAGCTACACCCAAATAAGAGAAGGCCAGAGTGCGAAGGGAAAAGTACTAAAGTCCATATCTATCACTTCATGTGCTTCATGGCGAAAGCTTTCGACCACCCTCTTGAAGGTACTTCACATACAGATACGACTGTAACAATCAGAGGTGGCTGGTTTATCCCCCCCTTCAATAGAAATAGTCCACCAGCATCTACATTGGAATTTTCATTTCCTCCAATGCTTCATATACATATACCAGTGATACAAGTATTCACATTGTCATAAATTACAAAAAAAATGTGTTTATGTTTTCATCAATTTTGAATAAACACACAAAACATATCTTTCCTTAACAATGCTGAAGGTAGAAACACAAACAAAATATTTCTCAAAACAACTAACTATCTACATTTGTTAGTTTTTTGACATATGCTCATTTTTATGAGCAGAGTGCAAAAGGTGTTGGTGGTTTTCATGTTGATTTAAACAGGATCATGCAAACAACGATCTCCCGCGGCCAACACGGGGCAATACTCTGAGGCCACAGCACATTCTTACCACCTTTTGCGAAACGTAAAGTAATGACGTCGTCGCGAGCGTACAGTGTGATTATGTGATCGCCATAGCTTTCTGCTGCAAAAAGTGTGATTGCAAGAGCTGTCACGGTTTTTGTTTTAGATCGTTTTTATTTTAGGGCAGGATCATGCAAACAGGAAGTCCGTTTTTAAAGGGTTAAATTTACACAAAATGTATTCTGACTATAATTATTGTTCGAAATTGCAGTAAAATATCACCAAAGCATGATGCTGAAGATGCTTTTTTTTTGTTAAATGTTGAAACTCATAATTTTCTTTTCTTTCTTTCTTGCATCACAGGCTGCGAATACAGTGAGTATGCATCCTATGCTTTGAGCGTTAGTGTGGGTGGTAGGTGATGAGCACTAAAACACATTTTATTAAACTATGTACTTGTTGTTGTAACATTGATCTAATCTTTTTCTTTAGACACCGTGTGCAAGATATTTGCAGAAACAGCGTCTACTCGTAAGTGACACCTTTTATTTTGAAATGATTAATAAGTACATGTCGATGCTGTGCATTGGAAATGCCAGAAATCATGCTTGCTGTTGCATAACTGCAGGTCTTGGTCTTTGAATCTTAAACACCTTTTCCATACTTTTGTTTTTTAACCCCACCTCCCTAACATTTGAGTGCAATAATGACAACGCTCACATGATTTGAAGAATATTCTTGTGTAATACAGGACCACCTCCTGCAAAGTATTTGAAGTTACAGAAAGCATTAAGTAAGAACTAACTAAGAGCTCCAAGTGAGCTGAGTCGACACTAGAATGGTGAGTTAAAATACTGCACACTACTAACATCCTGCTAGAACTCAACGTTTTTAAATAGCAAAACCGCAATCAATCGCGACTGCAGATGTTTTATTCACCCTACCCAGGTTGTAAAAAATGGCAGCTCGCAGTACACTACGCTACGTACACTGTGACGTAAGCTACGTACACTGTGACGTACGCTACGTACACTATGACGCACGCTTCATACAGTATGATGTATGCTACGTACACTCCAATGTATGCTACGTACACTCCACCCTCCTCTACAGCGTACCCTGCGTACAGTACGCTGTACACTACATACACTACACCGTGCACTACGTATGCTACTATTCGCAGTAGAAAGTGAAAGACACTACAATGTAACGCTTCGTAAACTACGCCCTACACTACCTACACTACAGACACTACTGCGTAAGCTACATACACTACGCCGTGCACTACGTATGCTACTATTCGCAGTAGAAAGTGAAAGACACTACAATGTAACGCTTCGTAAACTACGCCCTACACTACAGACACTACTGCATACGCTACGTACACTACAGACACTACTGTGTACGCTATGTACACTACAGACACTACTGCATACGCTACGTACACTACAGACACTACTGCGTACGCTATGTACACTACAGACACTA